AAAACCCCTTTAAAATCCCTTAGGCCAGTCCCGCAAGCTGGAACAACCATGTCTTGAGGGCGCGGCGGAAGGAAGGGAGATCAGGGATCACCCTGATCTCTGGGGGCAGTTCGTTCCAGAGGGTGGGAGCTCCCACAGAGAAGGCCCTCCCCCTTGGGGTCGCCAGCCGGCACTGTCTGGCTGACGGCACCCTGAGGAGTTTGTTATCGTGCAGTTCAAATCCTGAGAGCTTGGCCGCTTTCCGTTTACAAGTTAGGCTGCTCAATTTTGCCAAAATGCAAGCGTTGCTCATTTAAGAAGGACTTAAAAGAGTTAAGTCTTTTGACAGTTTATTTTTTTTCCCCCAGGTAACAGTTCACAATCCAGAGAATCAAAGCTATTTAATAGCATATAAGGATTCACAGCTCATCGTCTCTTCAGCTAAGTAAGTTCTAAATCATAATATATTTGAGTGGTACAACAGCGGTTTAAAAGACTAGTCAACGCGGCTCAGTGCATATTTAAAGTTGGAAAGCTTTAATGCCGCGAAACTTTTTTCTGTACTAGCTTCTCTCTGAATTTACAGAGAAAAAGTGAAAAGCGAGCGGAGTTTTTGGTGATAGTGTGCTGTTACATTTGTATTTATTGACTGTAATTATTTTGATAATTTTTATAAGAATGTTTCGGACGAGGGTGTTGACCTTGCGCAAACATTTTTAATATTTTGAGAATCCTTTTTTTTTTTTTTTTAGTAAACGAATCTCAACTTTTGATTCTGTGTATTGTAAAGTGGTGTGTAAAATATAATAAGAGCCATCAAGAAGTAATAAAAGATAGACCTTCTCATTCATCTTTCATAAATTGTTCAGTGTAATTTATGAATTCTGATGAGAATAATTGGTTGGAAATAATTTACATCTTTCTCCTGTTTATATTTATCTGCATTCCTCCCGTTTGCATCGTAGATGTTTAGACTGATTCATATACCGATAAAGGAGAATAATTCTAACTTGAGGGTTGAACTGTGGGGTCCTTGGTGCTCTCTGAACTTGGTTGTTGTCTTGAAGACGTTTTATGACCCAAACTAGGTAATCTCATCAGTGCTATGCGCTGAATCTCAAACTAGTTTCAGTAATGAAACATCTGCAGAAGAAACATTGACCCAGATTCCCAGTCTTTGTGGTTAGAGAGAAAAGTTTAAGCTGCAAGACCTGTTAAGCGATGGTGCATACTGTGCTGAACCTGGAGCAAGCACTGGATGCATGAAGGAGCTAAGATTCCAGATGTTTCTTTCATCTGTCTCACTGCTTATTTCTGTAGATCAGTCTACAGAATAGCTGTGTACAGTTATATACACACACAAGACTGTCTTTTTCAAGGGTAATGTTGGAAGCTGTGCTAATAATGCGGGTTCCAAGACTGTAGCCGTCATTGCTGTCATTGCTCGCTACATTAGGGCGACAGGATAGATGACATTCAATTTCCGATCAGGATTCCTTGGTGGAAACATTTCTTTAAGGAATGTGGTGATGATGCAGGGATAATTTGTGTTGTGCCTTCTCGGCTTTTTTTTAATCTTTCAGAGCATTACAGCATTGTGAGGAGCTAATCCAGAGATACAACCGAGCCGAAGATACCATCTGTCTTGTAGACAGTAAGCCACTGCCTCACCAGAATGTAACGAACCACGTGGGTAAGGCAGTAGAAGACTGTATGAGAGCCATCATTGGGGTCTTGCTCAATTTGACAAATGATAATGGTAAGTAACACACTTATGCAAGGGAGCCTAGAAAGAGGAAAATGGTGGCGCAGACAGTGAGTTCTCTCTAGAGCAGACATGTCAAACACAAGGCCCGGGGGCCGGATGCGGCCCGCGAAGTGGTTTCATGTGGCCCGCGAAGCCATCCTGGAAACAGTGAGGGAACGGCCCCCGCTGCCTTGGCCCTGGCCCAGGCCGGCCGGCCGGGAGCCAATGTACAATTTTGTGGTGGCCATCTATGCTGAAACGCATTCAGTCTTAGCTCCACAAGGCCGTCCGGAAACAGCGAGGAACCAGCCCCTGCCGGGTTGGCCCCGCCCCCTGGGTGCATGCTGGGGAGGTGTCATCCTTTGTGAGGAATGAAGTAATGGGCCATGCCTTGGCGCTTGCCCCGGTCCCACCCCCTTCTGCCAGAGACCCTCAGATCTGTCTCACTCCTGCCCAGGCCCCCACAGGCACCCTTGACGTGAATGATGTAGAGCTGGCCACGCCCACCCAGTAGGCCACACCCACTCCATCCACGCCCACCCAGTAGGCCACACCCACTCCATTCACGCCCACCCAGTAGGCCGTACCCACTCTGGCCACACACACACCCCAAGGGCAACCGCAATGCTGATGCGACCCTCAATGAAATTGAGTTTGACACCCCTGCTCTAGAGAAAATGTCATTAAGACATTGCTTGAATGGCAGTAGTATGGAGGAGGGGCTGCTGAGTAAAGTGATACAAAGAATGAAAGCGGCTTCTTTGGGGGATTGACAGGTCAAATGCCATTCAGGCATCAGAGGAAGGGGAAAAAAAATAGACAAAGGCCTGTCTCGGTTGAATGTGAGGTCGTCCCTCAGTTGAAACCCCGTTACTTAGCCTCGACGGTCCTTTTAACCCTTCTGGACCTATCCGTGTCTTACCTTCAGCTTTGCCCATTTGTAATGGCAGCATTTTGTGTCCCAAAAATAAAATCTCGTTTGTAGTCTCGGCATAGCGGGCTGAAGGAGAAGCTCTGAAGAGGGACTGATGTTTTGTGATAGCAACACTTTTCATCTTTAGGGACGAAATGGACAAGGGGTGACATTTATTTGTTGGGTTTTTACCCCATCTTTAATAGTGACTCAAGGAGATGGAGAAAAGCCAGTTTTTACACTTAGGCAGGAAAAAGCAAAGTTACAAGTACAGATTAGGCAAAACCTGGCTCAAAAACAGTAACTGGGAGAGGGACCTTGGGAGTCCTAGTCGACAATCATTTAAATATGAGCCAGCAGTGTGCGGCGGCAACCGAAAAAGCTAACACAATCCTTGGTTATATAAACAAGGCATAGAATCACTCACATAAAGTATTAGCACTGCTTTAGTAAATCCACAGCTGGAATACTGCATCAAGTTTTGGTCACCCTGTTACAAAAAAGATGTTGAGATTTTGGAAAAAGTGCAGAGAAGAGCAACTAAGACGATTAAAGGCCTGGAGACTAAAACTTATGAAGAACGGTTTCAGGACTTGGGTATGGCCAGTCTAGAGAAAAGAAGGACTGGGGGGGGATATGATAGCAGTATTCCAGTATTTGAGGGGCTGCCACAAAGAAGAGGGGGGTCAACTTATTTTCCAAAGCACCAGAGGGCAGTGCAAGAATCAATGGATGGAAACTAACCAAGGAGAGAAACAACCTGGAATTAAGGAGAAACTTCCTAACAGTGAGGACAATTAACCAGTGGAGCAGCTTGCCACCAGACGTTGTGGGTGCTTCATCACTGCAGGTTTTTAAGAAAAGGCTGGACAGTCACTTGTCTGGAATGGTATAGGGCAGGGGTGGGCAACCTTGGCTCTTCTATGACTCGTGGACTTCAACTCCCAGAATTCCTAAGCCAGCCACGCTGAGGGGAAAGGGAGAGGTTTCCAAGCTGAGCCATGCCGGCTGAGGAATTCTGGGAGTTGAAGTCCACAGAGTCATGAGGGGGCCATAGTTCCCCCATGCTGGCTCAGGAATTCTGGGAGTTGAAGTCCACAGAGTCATGAGGGGGCCATAGTTCCCCCATGCTGGCTCAGGAATTCTGGGAGTTAAAGTCCACAGAGTCATGAGGGGGCCATAGTTCCCCCATGCTGGCTCAGGAATTCTGATTGATGGAGGCAAACAAGCACTCATATTCCCTCCTCGTATTTTTTTCCGACAACAGCCACCTATAAATGAAAAGAGGGAGTCGGATAACAACTTAGGAACATTTCTGATTATAAAACAGACTCCTCAGTTTCTCTGTGCTTTTCATGTTGGCAGAGTGGGGCAGCACCAAGACCGGGGAGCAAGAGGGCCTCATCGGCACTGCTCTGAACTGCGTGCTTCAGGTTCCAAAGTTCCTAACTCAAGAACAGAGATTTGATATTCGGGTTCTGGTAAGCATAAAACCCCTCGTCTTCGCTCAAAGTGTATTTGGAAAATAAATAAAATAAAATGTCTCTGTGGTCGCATTGCATGATAGACTCCCCCCCCAAGACAGTGATGGTGAACCTTTTAGAGACTGAGTGCCCCAAAACTGGCCCTGCCCCCATCCCCGTCCTCCACCCCACCTGCCCGCAGGGCCACTCACCGCCTCCAGGGCCCGCCGCAGATTGTCCAGGCAGCCCAGCAGCGCCATAGCAGCCACGCCCTCTGCCCGCGCCCCGCAGCATCAACTGTGCACAATGGGGCGTGAGGGCAGAGTCTTGTCTACGCTGCCTGGCTGCCATGTCCGTGGCTGCCCTGCTCCGTGTGGGCCACACTCGGGGGGTCACTCTCCTCCAGGGGGGCTGCTGATGAAGAGGGGGTCGTGGGGGGAGGCGAGGCTGGGGTAACGGCACGTGTGCCCACAGAGAGGGCTCCGAGTGCCACCTCTGGCACCCGTGCCATAGGTTCGCCACCACTGCCCTAAGGCAACCTTTTTTCTTTTTAACATTCAGTTTGGTCCCAGCTGGCACTGAAAGATTTTTGTAGCTTTTTTGCCTCGGTGCAGGAAACGGTTCTGGATTAACCTTCAGACCGCTTGGAGGCTGGTGGCCCGATGGTTTGCAAAGCAGACGGACCGATTTCAGCGATGTGTCAATTTATTATAATGTAAATCAGCGGTTCTCAACCTATGGGTCGCGACCCCATTTGGGGTCGATAGATCATTTCACGGTCGCCAAGCAAGGCTGTCCGCCATTTTTTT